ATAATTTACGACTAGCCGATTAGACTAGTAAGTAAGGAGTGTTCTGAAAATGGCGTTTCGGTTTCCACGTGCGTGTGCTATACCGACCGTTGTAACGGTTCGGTCGGTATAATGTCTCCATCTCTTGTGCTCCTTCACGTTGCCGGTCTGTCGGTAGTCGGAGTTTCGCCGAAGTTGGTTAACTAACTGAGGGAGAAGTAGCAGTCAGAGAAAGAGAAAGACATTTATTGATTCTCAGTTATTGAAGATCTATTGTTTCCTATAGCGATTTTAAATTTTGATACGATCAGTTCAAACTTTTCAATGAATATGAATTAGTATAATAAAAAATTTGAAAGACGATTCATTCATTTTTTTCCTCACGAAAAATAAGCATACCTATTCTAAGTATTCGATCTCCCATTTGAATGAAATGCTGCCGTCTGAAAATTTGTATGTATCATGTGCAACCAATCATACGAATGCTGGTTTACGTTTGTATTGTATGAAGTTTGCTTTTTCTTCAGCAACATACATACATACATACATATATACATTCCGAAAAAATTTTAAGTGTAAATTTTTACTTAATTTTTATTTATAATAAGAAAATATCTAATTTATTTTATAAATTTCTGTACATTTTGATAGTTTCACTGCAAATACCCGGGAAACCGGTTCTGAAAAGTTTTGTTTTAAATGGCTGCCCGAACTCTGCATGCTGTTGGTTTACTGTGTTTTCTATTCAACTAACTACAAAGTCGAAATTGAAAATTTGAAAGTGTTTGAAAACATAAAACAACTTTACTCAGTTGAAGAATTGATAAATTAATAAAAAAGTTAATTTGTCACGTAGAAATCTTGTTAAATAATGAAAAATTGAAACGCGTACTCCACAATAATTGAAAAGACGCTGAAATACTGGGAATAATTCAAGTCATTAATTATGTCATGTAAATAAATTAGAAAATAAAAAAATTGACTAAATGTGTAACAATTATGTCAACACTGATATCAATTAAAAGGTAACTTAAGACATTTAACAAAACGAACTGGCAAGCAAGATTTAAGTAACAGTGAGTCAAATTATTACACTGTTGTGGAATGTTCTTCAAATATAACTGAACTAAAAAAGCATATCAGTAATGAATTTATGAATTGTTTGAATCAGCCGTCACAACGAAATACATTTTTATTAAGAAACACGCGAGAGATGGCGAAACTTAAGCTCAAATTCCGAATTCGCCAATCGGAAAGCGTGTCGAACTTTGAAAATTGAAATAATCGTTAATAAAAACATTGTATTGTTGGCATCGGTGCTGTAGCCAAAGATTTGTTGTGGGGTTCATAAATTCGTTAAAAGAAAGTTAACGACACTTTTATAAAAATTTATTTTGCAGTTGAAGCCAGTAGCTTTGTGACAAATGTAACTTAATTCTAGTTCTTGCATGGAGTTGAACCAGTTTCAGTCCATATATTTACAAATTCATACAAAGATTTTGTTCAATTCGGCCCTGACCTTACCAAAATCTTCTATTGTGAGGGGTGTTTGGGCCCCAAAGACCCTTTCCTCTACGTCTCTGATTTGTATCGAGTGTCAATTGTTTCAGTTTAAAGAGTATCTGCAACATCAAGTCCGTTATTCGCCATCAAAACTTTCGTCCGACACCGAAGCCAACACCGTAAAAATACACAGAACCGGCCATGGCGATACTTCGATATTAACAACTCTTTATAAACATACAAAACTTTGTATATGCGTTTGTATAAACATACAAAAACATACACTAACTTTGTATTCTGTGTTCGTTAGCAAAAATATACAAGAAACATTTTGTATGTTTATAAAAACAGACAAAGAAATTTTATATTTGTATAAACATACAAAAATTTTGTGTATTTGTATAAACAAACAAAAACTTATAAAAAAAACTTTGTATGTTGTGTGCGTTTAACAAAACTTACGAGGACAGTGCATGCTTGTATGTTCATATAAGTAAAAAAAAAATTGTATGTTTGTATGAACATGCGTAAACTTAGTATGTTTGTTTGTATAAACAAACAGAAACATACAAAACTTTGTATATGTTTGTATAAATGTTTGTTTCTTCCATTCAGGTTGTTCATTAGTAATCTTAGAGACGTAGGGATGGACAGGTCCTGGTCCAATCAATCATCAAGCTCAATTTCTTTTCAAACCATCAATCAATCGTTGTTGTTGTTGTTGTTGATGTTGTTGTTGTTATTGATGTTGTTGTCGTTGTTGTTTGATGTTGATGTTGTTTTTGTTGATGTTGTCGTTATGTTGTTGTGCTGTGTTGTTGTGCTGTGCTGTTGTTGTTGTTGTTGTTGCTGCTGCTGTAATGTTGTTTTTTGTTGATGTTGTTGTTGTAATGTTGTTGTTTTTTGTTGTTGTTGATGTTGTTGTGTGATGGTGCTGTTGTCATCGTTGCTGCTGTGATGTTGTTGTTTTTGTTGATGTTGTTGTTGATGTTGCTGGTGATG